GGGAACTTCTGTTTTCAGAAATAGCACAGAGGGTCTTCAAAAACACATATAGACTTCATCTTTTTTCAAAATAATAAAAATTTTCATAATAATCTCTTTGGAACAGGCATTCGCATATAGAGCTGCATGAAGTGAATTTTTGTAGGAAGCAAACTGAGGTCTCCCACCATTCGTGTTCTAAATTTAAAAGATTAAGTGTTCCTTTTTCTTATTGTGAATTAGAAATTTGTTGACTTCACAACCCCTGTTATCATTAAGTAATATTTTTGTTGTTTGTACCAAATGCTACAAAAACAAAAAAGGAAACATTCTTTTGCAAGTGAAAATAAAGATATCTTATATTACTGTATCTATAAATAAATCTTCATTTATTACCATTATACATCAGAGTCCTCTATTATCAATGCTAAATCTCTACTGGAGATTGTGAGAGGAGACTTAGCTACCACAAGATCTGCCTTACAACAGGATATTTATAGTGTAACCCGAAGACGAGCAACGAGCTTTCTGATTACCTGAAGACATATGTACTTCCTTGGACAAAAATCATCATCTGGTTTACGTGTCAAGTTGTAATGATGTTTATGATGGGTTTCTGATACCTTCCTTCAGTGGAAACAAAACCTCAGCTGAGTGCTCCCAGTAAATCAGACAGATGAGTTATCAGCACTTGGGCCACAACAAACTACCAGACACCACACTGCACGGGAATAGCAATCCATGAGGATAGCGACATGATTATCCACAAATCTCTCCTGTTTCCTAGCACAAGTGTTTGCCTAATGATAGTGGGGAACAGCAGCCACAGACCATGAGCAGCTCCAACAACCAGCCGATCCCTTCAGCGTTGGTGCTGCAGGAGTGTGGAGAGGGCTGTAGTAGAGAGCCCTGCGAGCGCATTATCTGCTGTGGCTCGGTTCCTGCATGGCGCTAAGGAAGGTGAAAAAGGAAACAGTCTCAACAGCCAGGGTTGGTCTTGGCGTGAGGTTGATGCAGTTAGCCTAGCACTCCCATTTCACAGGCTTTCCATGCTAAAAATAAGACCAACATGTTCTGCTCTCAACCCTGTAGTTCTGTTTGGTCACAATCTGCTGTTGCAACATCACGACTTCCCGTGAGAAAGCCAGGATAAAAGCCACACAGGGCAGAGACATTGCAGAACCCAAATGCCACAGATTAGCACAGTGTCTCGTGTCCCCCTTACACATTTGGGGGGGTACGGGTACCTCTGTCACCTTGCCAGAGGCCCTATCCCGCTGTGATGTGCCAGCGGCTGTAGCCAGCAGGGCACAATCTCTGGGAGGCAGAAGAGATCGAGATTTTCCCTGGCAGGGAGAGGAGGCAGGAGCCCACCAAACCTGAGCTGTCCTGCCTATTAGCTGCCAGGAGCACAGGAAAACCTCATGAGAAGGGCTGGGAAACAGCCTCAAGCAGGACATCAGGTGGAGCTTACAAGGAAAGGAAAAATGATTGTGCAGAACAGAAACAAGTCTTAAAGATCAAGAAGTGTAAAGATCAAATGGGTCTTAGCAAATTCTTCCCTTCAATATGAAAAGCTATCTATATACACAAATTACAAGCAAAGAAATGAGATCACCCAGTGCTGCTGCTGATAAAAACAAAAAAATTGTCCAGATATGTCCTGAAAACTACCTGATTGCTTTGTCACAGCTTTCAGTAAGGATGAGGAACCCAAGAAGTCCAGAATTTTAAAGGAATTAGCACATGAAATCTCACACCAGCAACAAGGATTCTAAATAAGTCAGCCAAAACAGGATCAGGAGGCAGAGATCACCAAATACAGTCCCTTCTCTAGGTTGTGGGAAGAAAGGAAAGGGTCTGGCCACTAACAGCTCTACTATGTTCGGACCTGAAAAATGCGCAGTTTCAAAACATGTCTGAATAACATTAAATGGGAGGGAACAAATAGTGCTCCACCTTACAAGAATATTTTGCCTCATTGGCTCCTTTCAGTAGGAAAATCACTTTTCCAGCCAAGCTGTGGTAGACACTGGTGTGAGTAAAAGGTCCTTTGGAGCACACTGCGAGCAGTAACACACTTTATAGAGGCACTGGTACTCAGCAGTGCCGTAGGCCCCCAGACTACCCCGCCAGAAAGCTGCCAGCAAGGAAGTGAGAAAACAGCATGAGTGTCACCACCACCGTGCCACATGGTGACAGCACTTGCAGGGCTGAGACGGGCTGAAAACTGCAGAGGCAGGGAAAAATACCACGTGAGCATCGTTGGTCCATGGCAGAGGTAATAAAGCTCGTGACTTGATGGAAGAAGGGTGCCATAAGCAGCTGCAAGAGCCTACAGGGTGGCTGATGGGGAGCCGAGGGGCAGAGAAGAGAAGCATGAGGATCCTGACCCAGCAGTATCCAGAAATCAGACAGGGACCTGAGAGCCACACCAGGAGACATGTAAGTTCTCTGCAGATGTGTTGGGTTTGCATGACAAGGTTTTGGTAGCTTGGGTGGCTAGAGGGGTGGCTTCTGTAAGAAGCTGCTAGAAG